ACATATAAAGTACTACATAACTACAAATTTTGAGATCTACAACTTTTACTATTGATGAGAACCAATAGACAAGATTGCCATATACTAAATATTTTTTTCAGTAGCGAAAATTCGATATGAAAATCATAGAAGAAATGTTATTTTGAGGATCTGTTTAGTTAATCAGTGTTAACGGATAAATTCTTTCCTGTACGATCATATTCTCGTTTCTCTACATAGTCGAACTGAACTATTGCAACAAAAAAAGCAGCTAAACAATTAGGTGACAAAAAATATTACTTTTTAATATGATCAAGATCTTAAACAGAGGATTCAAGTGATCTTCAATGCTGTTACACATATTTTTATCAATCGAATTGAAGCAATAAATTGTGATGAAAAATTTCCAAACGTTTGGCCTATTGAAAGCGTCTGGAAGATGTTGAAAAACTAATTATGAGCGCAAGGATAAAGCAATATTGAACAATTGAAAAAGGATATTAAAAGAGAATGGGTCTAATTTAGTGTTTTTTTATGTAAAAAGATGATAGATATATTACCAGTACAACTAAAACTAATTATCGATCAAGGTGGTAATCAAATACAGGAACACTGATAACTTAATTTGCATTTTTTTCTTTTATTTTAAAATTGTATCGCTTTTATAATGAAACAAAATGACGAGAAAAATTGAAAAAATAGTACATGACAATCTTGTTTATTGGTTCTCATCAATAGTAAAAGTTGTAGATCTCAAAATTTGTAGTTATGTAGTACTTTATATGTACAATAATCTGGCAAAACTTCAAGAAGTTTGCTTTTGTGGAACACGAGAACAATGAATTTCAAAATTGTAACAGAAATTCTGAAACACCCTTCATATGTGGACTCGACCTGGTAATTAAGAAAATCTTAACATTTCGATATATTTTTACTTTTTCAAACTACTATTTATATAAAAGAGCATATGAGTGAAAATCTATATGAAGATGAAAATGAATTATGAAAAAAGTGAACATTTTAATCATTGTAATTGAATAAACATTAATGCATGTATCAATAATAATGACGTTTACTATTGACACTATTGTTCCATTCGAGCGTCATCATTGTTAAAGAAAAATATTTATTTACTGACATAAATATATCGAATGTTCAGGAGAAGAAAGATAGTAAGTGAATAGAGGTCTGTGATTTCTAATAGAATGAAATCATGAATCGAACCGGAAACGGAATTTTTCAAATTCTTTTACCTTGAACTGAAACCGTAAAATAAAAGAGTTGGAAGCGAAAATATTTTACTGATAATTAAAGTTCATCTAGAATGTAGAAAAAAATTGTCAATAAGCTCTATCACACATACTTTCGACAATCTTTCTCGTTTTGTTTTTTCTTTTCAAGAAATTTATTTTTTTTCAATAAACAAAAGTAAATAACAACAAATACGAAAAATTAAACATAAATATTTCTAAAAAAAGACTCTTATTAATTATTTAATATATTATTAATAATCACCAGTTCCAATGACACTTTTTACAAAACTAATATTTGAAACGATTTTTTTCATCTTTACGAAGCAAAGTTGAAACTGAAGTTTCGATTCTAGTTAATCTATATTATATATTGAAACTGCAAAGCTACAATACTCTACCAAACAAAATAGCAAAATGATATTTAGAGAAAATTTCAAGTTGATTAGAATAATAAAAATGTAATTTAACATTTCATCGACAATGAATATTTTTATTTAGAATATTTTCCATTTTTTTATTAATCGACTTTCTAAAATGTCTCTATTATTAGAAGATGATCATTTTTCGATGAATTTGATCAAATGATTTGTAAATAGAGCAATAATATTAAGATATATACAGGTGAAAATATATCTCTTGGCTTAATTTAACTTATTCTAAATATTCATATAATTAAAGATAAATAAAAAAAGCAAAAACTTATTTTTATTTAACATAAAAATGTTATAAATCTGAACAAGGAAATAAATTTGCACATGATAAAAGTTCAATGGTTACCTGAAAATCAATGTCGAAATATCAGTTCGATTGACAACATCAATTATCTATCATTATAAAACATCTGATTATTTAATTGGTCAAGTTGATCATTATTATAAAATAAATCAATTAGAACAATGTTTTATTTCTTATTCAAGATATATAACGTAAATTTATACAAAATTAATTATAAAACAATTAAATTTAGATTTTATTTTATTTTATTTTATTTAAGATTATTTGTTGAAAAACTTAAACAACATCATCGAGATTTTCCTAATGTATCAATAAATGATCGAGAACGTGTTAAAGAAGTAAAATTTATATATATATTTTCTTTTTGTTTATTTTTCATAAATAATAATTAATAGATTATTCGTACAAAAGCTTTTCCACATGCAGAAGAATTAAAAAATAAATTAAAAGAAAAATACATTCGAGAATATAAAGAGAAACAAGTATTCAAATAGAAAAAAATAGAAAATTATTTATTATAGAGAGTTTTCTTGTTTTTTTCTATAGAAAACAATAGATGAAGATGAAGAGGAAGAAGATAATTTGAAAATATCAGCTACAACATTGACTTGTGCACCAATCAAGTAAGAATATTGTCAAAAAAAAATATATATATATATATAATCAAACAGTGAAATTATTTTTTTTCTATTTTTAAAGTACAAATAACGACATAAATATTTTTTAATATAAACTAAAGTCACAATAAAAAATTTACAAAGAAAATAAAAGAGAAAATATTTTGAAAATGATTCATTTCAAATTTGAGCAATTCTATTTCTTCTTTCTATTACATAAAACAAATTTTAAAAAAATTTATTTGCAAATTGAAATTTAAAAAAATTTTCACAATTTATTCTCTTATTTTTATCTTAATATTTATCATGAACATGAATTAACATCTTCATTGCTTAAATATAATTTTGTCCAATCACCATTAATTCATACATCTTTATCTTTATGTGTTGTATCACCAATTGATAACAGTTTTCAACAAATCAGTAAAGGATCATAGACAAATGACATTCAACATAAAGAGAAGTCTCCGACGTATCTCAACATTAAAATATATATTTACATTTTTTTAAAACTCAATTTATGTTTTTCGAAGAAAAACACTAGTAAATTGAAGTTTTAACTTGAGATTTTACGACTCTCTTCTGATTGCAACGAAGATCAAAGCTCAATAGATATGATTTTCATAGCAAAAGGGGAGATATGAGCTGATACTATCACTCATTAAATACGTTTCGATAGCAATCGAGAACAGGAGGCGACAGATCATTTAGCAATCGAAAAGGAAAAATAGATGCTGCACAATACTACATCA